CTTAACTGCTACTATAAAGGTTTTTTGTTTTACTAGCGCCCACTCCAGTCCTGTATTATAATTCTTCAATTTTCATTATTATCATAATTTATCAATTATGATTTTATCTAGATATTTTACCATGTCACATGATTGCATTGAAGGCAATTGATCACCTCCTCGACTTCTCCTGATATTGCTGTGAGGGGCTGTAGAGTTTCTTGACAGCCCCCACCCTGAGATGCAGTGTTTTTTCCTTTGATGCTTTTTCCTTCCTAGCCTAGAGAGTTATCTGATATCCACTCAGCTCCTCACCACAGTCACTGAACTTTACACTGCAGACTTATGGCTACCTCCCCCTTTTCCCTTGCTCACCATTGAACCCTGCCACTGTACAGCGCTCCAAGTCTCTATCCTGGATGAATGACTCTACATAAATGCATGTTGTGCACGATATCTCCAATTTATAACTCAATGGCTTAAGGACTGTGAGTCACTCAATTTTCCTGGTTCCTTTTCCAAGTTTAGCACCATCATCATTCTGGAATTCGATTCAGAGGTGCTCCTGCTGGGAAATGTTAACACTGATACATACAACAACAACAACAAGATTTCATTTATAGAGCGCCTTTCACGTCGGGAAGACGTCCCAAGGCGCTGGACAGTTGAGTCAGGACCCGAGCAGGGGGGAAATAGTCAGGGTGAGGGGAGGGAAGGGAGGGAGCGAGGAGGGGGGAAATAGTTAGGGTGAGGGGAGGGAAGGGAGGAAGCGAGAAAGGGGTGGAGAGTCGAGAGGGGAGCTGAAGGCACGGTCAAAGAGAAAGGTCTTGAGACCGGCCTTGAAGGAGGAAAGGGAGGAAGCAAGGCGAAGGCACTGGGGGAAGGAACATATGTTTGAACACTCTTGTTTTCTGGCTCAGACACTTTACCATTAACTTCTTTGCTGGTTAAAAGTATTGGCACACTCTCTCTCTCTCCCCCTCCCCGCCCCTTCCTCGCCCCCCTCTATCTGTGTATAAATGTAATAATGTCATTCCTATAAACAATATAATTGGAGCTGTTCCAAGTACAGGTAGAGAACATGTTTTGACTAAATTTAAAAAGCTTGTTTTTTAATTATGCAGAATGGTGAATGTTTCACAATGAAAACACTCTCTGTCAACTTTCTTTTCCATTAGTGGCTTTTCAGGTTGTTTGAAATAAGTAGAAAACAGGTTTGGGGGCAGGGAGAAGGGCACAATCATGAATATCATTCCTTTAAGTTTGCGAAACGACTTGAGTAACCAGGTTACAGGTACGTGGCTACAAACATGGTTGGATTCCAGCACTTAAAGAACATTTTGAAGAAAATAAATTACTTAACAAATCGGGGCAAATCTAATAAATTATTTTTAAAACGCTGGGATAACAAATCGACTTTCAATGTTTCCAGAAGTGCGGTCAGACTCACCAACTGTTTTGACAGGAACTCGAGGTTTCATGACAAAATAATTAAACAGGTTTACAGAAAATCCAATAACAGCCTTTTAATCTTAGTTCTATAATTCTGGGAAATTCCCCATGGATTTATATTACATCTGGGGAGGGAAAAAGTCATTCATGGCAAAACGTGACTCATCCCAGCTCTTCATGTTGTTCTTCAGGAGAGTGAGCTGGGACACACATGTCACCTCTAAGTGTCCAAACTGTTGAAAGAAAAGTATTACTGCTGGATTGGTTCATCAAAGAGAGTTAAACATTCGTCAGTAATTTCACCCTTTTTTTTTACTGATCTGCCTCCACTAGTTTCATACCATCACGGGTGACATTTACTTGAATTGAATTCCTCTCTACTCGGCCATTAGTCAACCAAAGTGTCTTTGATTTTTGCATTGTAAAATGTACATCCCTCAAATGGCAGGTAACGGGGATAAACTGGAGTAAAGTAGTCAGCCTCTCTTTGTGAATTGACTGTATTTTGTAGGCAAAACGTGACAGCCAATTGTGCATAGCAGTGTCCCACAAACAGTTGTGGATTGAGTGACCAAATTTTTTTTAAGCATTTATTATCCCCGGAAAATTCTGTGTCTTCTGCGGATCTTCTTTAGATTTGCATAATTCCTCAGCAGTCTGACTCAGTGAATTGGTGATTTAACAACAACAACAACAAGATCACATTTGTATAGTACCTTTCACGTCAGGAGGACGTCCCAAGGCGCTGGACAGTGTGTAGCATTTCAGACCCGAGCTGGGGTCAGGGGTTGAGAAGGGAAGGGAGGGGAAGAAGGATGACCGATGGCATGATCGAAGAGGAGGGTTTAGAGGCGGGACTTGAAGGAGGCTAAGGAGAGGGCGAGGCAGAGTGATTGGGGGATGGAATTCCAGAGGTTGGGGGCAGAGTGGCTGAAGGCTTTCCTGCTAATGGTGGGGAGGATGGGTCGGGGGACGTGGAGTATGCCAGAGCCGACTGAGCGAAGGGAGCAGGCGGATTGGTAGGGGGTTAGGAGGTCTAGGAGGTTAGGGGGCGAGGACATGGAGGGCTTTGTATGTGAGGACTAGGATCTTGAACTGGATCCTCTGAAGGATAGGGAGCCAGTGGAGTCGAGCGAGAATGGGGGAGATGGGGTCACGGAGTTTGGTGCAGGAGAGGACACGAGCTGCAGAGTTCTGGGTTATCTGCAGCCTGTGGAGGGAGGAGTTGGGAAGGCCGACAAGCAGGGAGTTTGCATAGTCGAGCCTGGAGGTGATGAAGGCATAAACAAGAGCTTCAGTGGCCTGAGGGGTGAGGTAGTGTCAGAGTTGGGCGATGTTACAGAGCTGAGGGAAGGCAGAGCGGGTCATGGCTTGGATGTGGGGAAGAAAAGACAGTTGAGGGTCGAACAAGACACCTCGGTTCCTGACTGGCTGGTGAGTTGTAGTGTGCAACCATGGAGGTCGATGCTGCCAGAGCTTGAGGTGCTGAGGCGCTGGCGTGAGCCAATCAGGAGGACCTCAGTCTTGTTCACATTCAACTGGAGGAAATTTGCCCTCATTCAGGACTTGATGTCCGACAGGCAGTCTGTCAGGACAGCAGTGGTCCTGGAGTTGAGGTGGAGGCAGAAAGATAGAGTTGGGTGTCATCCACCTACATATGGAAGTTTACCCCCATGTCTGCGGATGATGTCACCAAGAGGGAGCATGGAGATATTAAAGAGGAGACGGCCAAGGACAGAGCTCTGGGGGACCCAAGGCGTGACAGTGCGGGGGCTGGAGGAAAAACCGTTAGAGGCATCAGAGTGAAGACGGTGAGAGAGATATGAATCGAACCAGGCAAGGGCAGGTCCGCGAAGATTAAGTAAAGAGGAGAGGCGATGTATGAGGATGGAGTGGTCGACAGTGTCGAAGACGGCAGAGAGGTCGAGGAGGACAAGGAGGCAGAGGGAGCCCTGATCACAGATGTTCAGAATGTCATTAGTGACTTTGACCAGGGCTATTTCGGTGCTGTGGGCAGCGCAGAAGCCAGATTGGAGGGGTTCATAGAGGGAATGGTGAGAGAGAAAGGGGCGGAGCTGGGACGCGACGACTCATTCTAGGACCTTGGAGAGGAATGGGAGGTTAGAGATGGGGTGGTAGCTGGAGAGGAGGGATGGGTCCAGGGAAGGTTTTTCCAGGATGGGGTGATGATGGCTGTTTTTAGTGGGGTGGGAACTGAACCTGTGGACAAGGAGAGGTTGACCACGTCGGACAAGAGAGGGGCCTGAAGATGGATCTTGGAGAAGAACATAGAGGTGGGGATGGGATCGAGGGAGCAGGTGGTGGGTTTGACTTTGCGAAGGTGAGGGAGGAGGGAGAAATAGGGTCGAAGGAGTATTGGGGGGGATGGGTGGAGGGACGGTCATGGGGGAGAGGTGATGTGGGGATTGGCGGTGGATGGGGCAGAGATGGCTGAACGTATCCCTTCGATTTTGGATTCGAGGAAGTACAGCATCTCCTCACAGTTGGAGTTAGAGGAGGAGATGGGCGAGGCATGGGAAGGTGGTTGGAGCTCTTAGATCCTCCTGCGATTCAGTTATTACGTTGCACTGTTTAATGAAACAATACTATTCAAATATTTGGGTACTCAAAATATGTACAATATGGTTAAAAAGAGCAAATATATATGTATATATCAAGGCAGTTTTATATACAGTATAACTATCGTAATGGGAATGGGATCAGAGTATAGGTTCCCTTCCTACTGGAAGCAACATAATGCAAAATGGCTGTCACTGTTTTAGTTCAACATCAGCAGATGTCTTTTTAAATATCATAACAACAGATCATAACAATGCAAATATTTATTACATACTATTTGTAGGTAAGTTGGTAAGAACAATTGATTTTTCTCCAGCCCAGATATGTTACTTCTTTGAAGATGTTAACTCTGGAGTAAAAGTAACTAGTAGTAATTTAGAGTAGCCATGTGCATTATTTAAATGTGTGGGTTTATTCTGTTCACTGAAGGAGTACTATATTTTTAAAAATTCGGCTGTACCACCCTCATTATTATTGCTTGCTGTTATCATTGAGATTTTACTATAATCCACTGAAATCCATAAGAACTCTCCTGCGACTGTACTAGTGGTTCAATATGTTGCTATTAGTAGTATATAGTACTATTGATATAACTTTATAAATAAAAACTTTAAAGTCATAGTAAGTTGCTCTCTCGATGCCCTGGTGGGTAATTGCATAATGCCATTGCAGACCTAGACCGTACAGATCTGGAAGCCAAAAGTTTGAATCCTGGTCTATTCAGTTATCTCATCTCAGCCAATGCAGCCGATTCGCATATAGGTCTCGCAATTGAATAACAGTCATCTGGGTTAGGTACTGAAGGATGATTGGTGCCAATACAATTTATATTTATTTAGTGCATTGGGAGGATGCCTCAAAGCATTTAACACTCCTGGCTGGAATCCTGGGAGACTGGCAATAGAGAGTCAAAAATATCTCAGGAGAGAAGGTAGAAAGTTTGAATACAGGTCCCAATAACGTTTACATTTTGCCATTCTGTCTTTCAGATGATATCCCACCATACTTTAAGACCGAACCAGGGCCACCACAGATCCATTTAGAAGGGAATCGTCTGGTGCTGACTTGCCTTGCCGAGGGAAGTTGGCCACTCGAGTTTAAATGGTTACGGAATGACACAGACATTACAGCGTTCTCTAGTGAATACAAGTAAGGAGATCCATGCTACAATTCAAAGCTGTCCATCTTCGGATGTCGATATCGTATCTGTCTGAGCGATCTGCCAGTCGGTAGCGAAAATGATTTGATCTTTTCCTACCATTGCCAATGCGGAATCAAGTCTACCCTGTTAGGCTATTTTGTCCTCTATGACCTGGAGTCCCGTGACAACCTGCGTTGCTATTTGAAAGGCAGGTGATTATGGAACGCTGCTGAAAAAAATAGATATGCTTCTGGCAAATGTTAAAAGGGAACACTCCAGTCATGCCCTTTGGAAAGAATTGAGAACTACAACATTTTTTTCCTCTTAATTTCTCTTTCCCAATCTATTTCCTACCATTTTGTGTGCGCATGAAGTTGGGCTATACCAAGTGAATGGAACACTTTTCCTCTTTTAGTGTCAATGTCAAAGAGCCTCGAATTAGGTATAAAAATTTGATGAAACGATAAGAAGTGACTCCACTTTACCGATATCTATGCACAGTATTACTGAAGGACAGACTTTAGTCTTATTACATTACTCTTGTATATTGTGGTTATATCTATATGCTAAATTGATCTTTTATTTTTAACACAAGGTATGTTATTCCATCCCTTCAACGTTCGGACACTGGGTTTTACCAGTGTGTGGTGCGGAACAGACGTGGAACACTTTTGCAGAGGAAGATTGAAGTACAAGTAGCATGTAAGTTCAAAACCACGCCATTATGTTCCATTTCTGACTCTAGGATAAGGTGTTCAATCTAGTCTCATATTTTACTTACTGTGTCATCAAAAAGAATTGTTAGTGACTCTACAAGCAAAATGATTATTTGATGTTATCACCTAGGATTAGAAACATTTTAGTACAGGAACAAAAGTATACTATTAATGTTTTGATAAAATAATGTACTAGAAACTCAACAAGAAAAAACAATTGTTTGATGGCTTGCTTTTCATTCAGGAATGGTTGGTTCATTGATGTACTACTTTGCTAACTTGTAAGTTACCAGAGTCAAATTTCAACCAAACATTGATTGTTTCACTTGCATGAGTTCTTTCCTGCGTCAATTCTTAATGGTTGAACAAGAATATACACTACTTCGTGACTTCATAAATGTTATTGGTGGAAACACTGCTTCAGTGAGTGAGTAGTAAGTGTATGGAACAAGCTCCCTAGGGAGATGGTAGAAGCAGAAAGTTCAAGAACAAGTTAGATTTCTGTTAGCAAATAATGCCTTGGGATACAGTATATAATTTGGGACACGTAATGTGCATGCGACTGCCAGGATGGTGGAAGGCGAACTGGGCTTGGGCTTATTTTGCCTAGCAAATTTTTATGTTCTTAAATTCCTATTCAAGTGTCAAACTTATCGGACCTTTTACTGATGATGCGAAAAGTCTGGCACAACTACTGTCATACTATATGGCTTGGTGTTTAGTTTATAAATTCTGTTTTATGTTGTCTCAATCTGTCCTCGCTGTTTTATCTATATTTTGTGTAACCTCTGACCCAGAAAACACTGAAGTGACCTGATCCCAGACCTCCACAAAAGACACTGAATCTGCCTCCAGGTTCAATGGTCATTACTTGATGCTTTCTTGTGCTCTTATTGCATTTGACATCTCCAATCCAGCTACTTTAGGAGCTGGTCAATGGGAATCAAGGCTGATGAAGACTGGTGTGGCTCGATGAACTGGATTACCTTAACATAAGCACATAAGAAATAGGAGCATGAGTAGGCCATTCGGCCCCTCGAGCCTGCCCCTCCATTTAATAAGATCATGGCTGATCTTTTAACCTCATTCCATTTACCCGCCCTATTCCCATATCCCTCAATCCCTTTAGTTTTTAAAAATCTATCAATCTCAGTCTTGAATATGTTCAATGACTGAGCATCCACAGCCTTCTGGGGTAGAAAATTCCATAAATTCACTACTCTCTAAGTGGAGAAATGTTTTCTCAACTCAGTTTTAAAAGGCTTTAATCCTGAGACTATGACTCCTAGTTTTAGATTCTCCAACCAGGGGAAACAGTCTCACACTATCTATCCTGTCAAGACCCTTAAGATTCTTATAGGTTTCTATAAGATCACCTCTAATTCTTCTATATTCTAGAGAATATAGGCCTAGTCTACTCAACCTCTCCTCGTAGGTCAAGCCCTTCATCCAGGAACCAACCAGTGAACCTATGTTGCACTCCCTCTAAGGCAAGTATGTCCTTTCTTAGATAAGCAGACCAAAATTGCACATAATATTCCAGGTGCGGTCTTACCAAGGCTCTATACAGTTGCAGCAAGAGTTCCCTACTCATGTACTCTAACCCCTTTGCAATAAACGCTAACATGCTATTAGCCTTCCTAATTGCTTGCTGTAGCTGCATACTAACTTTCTGTGATTGGTGTAGAAGGACACCTAAATCCCTCTGAATACTAACACTATCTAGTCTCTCCTCTAGAAAATAATCTGCTTTTCTATTTTTTCTATCTAGGTGAATAACTTCACATTTCCCCACGTTATACTCCACCTGCCTCTTTCTTGCCCACTCACTTAACCTTTCTATATCCCTTTGCATCCTCCTTGTGTCCTCCTCACAGCTTACTTTCCCACCCAGCTTTGTATTGTCCGCGAATTTAGATACATTAAGATCTATTTCCTCATCTAAGTCATTGTTGTAGACTGTAAACAGTTGACCCAAACACTGATCCTTGCAGCACTCCACTAGTCACAACCTGCCAATCTGAGAAGGACCTATTTATCCCTACTCTCTATTTCCTGCCTGTTAACCACTCTTTGATCCATGCTAATATATTGCCCTTAATTCCATGAGCCCTAATCTTAATAATAATAATAATAATCCTTGCATTTGATTTAGCGCTTTTCACGTCGGGAGGACGTCCCAAAGCGCTTCACAGAACACACTGTAAAGTGAATTGACTGTATATTTGTGGGCGAACGCGGCAGCCAATTGCGCACAGCAAACAGTCGTGGATTGAAAATGACCAATTTTATTATTGTTTTTTTTGAGGGTTTATTATTAGGCTCTGTGTGGAGTAAGGAAACTTGCCCAATTCCCTGCCTGGAATTGAACTCAGGTCTCTCACTTGCAAAGCGAGTGTTCTAACCACTGAGCTACAGGACTCTTATGTAACAACCTTTCATGTAGCACCTTGTCGAATGCCTTCTGAAAATCCAAGTACACTATATCCACTGGTATTCCCCCATCTAACCTGCTAGTTAATCTTCAAAAAACTCTAAAAGATTTGTTAAACACGATTTCCCTTACATAAAACCGTGTTGACTCTGCCTAATCATATTATCATTTTCTAAGAGCCCCACGATGACTTCCCTAATTATAGACTCTAGAATTTTCCCTACCACCAATGTCAAGCTAATTGGTCTATAGTTCCCCATTTTTTCTCTCCCACCCTTCTTAACGACATTACGTTTGCGACCTTCCAATCAACGGGAACCATTCCAAAATCCAGGGAATTTTGGAAGATCAAAAGCAATGCATCCACTATCTCTGCAGCCACCTCTTTTAAAACCCTAGGAAGCAGGCCATCAGGTCCAGGGGATTTATCAGTTTTTAGTCCCATCAATTTCTCTAGTTCTATTACCTTACTGATATTAATTTCTTTAAGTTCCTCACTAATATTAGTCTCTTGGTTCCCCTCTATTTTTGGTAAGTTTTTAGTATCTTCCAAGGTGAAGACAGAAGTAAAGTATTTGTTTATTGACTCTGCCATTATTTAGTGACTCTACCTTATTTCAGCTATGAGCTAGTTCCTCAGTTGTTTCTCAAATGGGATACTCTGCTGTGTGGTGTGAACTGGTAACACTGATTTACAAGAAGTTCAGCCAGATTGGAATGCTGGGCTGTGATCAGATTGAATTTCACATTTTGAATTTAACGAAATCCAATCTCTATTGCTTTCTCTTTCACAAATAATACCATTTCATTTCAAATTATTCAGAACAACCTTTTATATGCTCCAATCAATTCCATTTAGTAATGTGCTTTATCTTTTTCATATATAGCTTTGACGATGATCCCTTTGTCATTTGACAGATCAGTCACACGGCTCAGTGATTTATACTGATAAATGTAAAGCAATCAGGTCTACCGTTTATTTCAACTTCAGCACTGATCGGTTTACTTACAACCACTACACTTTTGAAGTGCATAATTTTGTCTGATTTCAGAAAATAAGGTAGAACTCGAGTATTGCCGGAATAGATGTAATCTTTATTGAGTGCTAGCATCCTATCCATTCTTCCGTGTTTGCTCCTGCTAAGAATCTAATTCATCTATGAAACATCCAGCCTTGTTTGAATAGGTTTTGGGGTTATTTAATTTAGGAAATGTCATATTGTTTGTGGCGTTCTATTAATAAGCACATTAAAAATATGTTAAATGATCAAAATTGGAACAATTCAAACCAAATGTCTTTTTAAAAAAAATTTAATTCTTTACTTCGGAGGACTCTAATCTCTAAAATCATTCTCAAATAAAGATGTTTATTCAAATCTAAATTATACCAACTGAACTGGGAAAGCAAGGGCAATTACAATCTGTAGTTTGATGGAAATATTTATTTCCATTCGGACGCTATGAACCATAACTGTTGTCAGCTTTAAACGTCCTTTTGCCTGCCCCATAAAAGCATCCACTAATATGGTCACTTGGCAAAAGAATTGCTGGTCAATTGTAATATGGTCACTGGGGAAAAGTAATGGGGATAAGTTAAATGGTCTTGTCTATAGAATTACAGCTAGAAATGGATTGCCAATGGTGTCAAATGTTTTATAAGTTGAATTTGTTTTTTTGTGTAACAGTCAAAAATGCTAATGATTTCATGTATCATCATCAAGATGGTTCTTATTTCACATTCCATGATGTACGCTCTAAGCAAATTATATTTTCAGGAGAATTTCTTCATAGATAGAACGCAAAAAATTTCTTCTAAGAAAACCCAATGAAAGTCTTAAAATCTACATTGGCTCTGAAGTTAAAATTGCACCAAATTTGGCAGATTTAATTCTAAACCATTTCCCAAGGTTGCCGTTAGGCAAACGTGAACCTCTTAAGAATCGATTGTGAGTGTGTTCTGAAATCTCTCCCCATTTCCGAGCAGTAGGAATGTTAGCAGGGTTAATCTGAGTTTACCACTGAAGTGTTTCTACATTATATCTGCATGACTTATTTCAGCAAATCTTAGATTAGGCTTTGAAGATTGGCTCTGATTCTCCAGCTGCAGCACACTTGCAGGCCACCGACCTTAGAAACATCAAGGGCAGATTTTATGAGTTTGCATTGTAATTAGCTTGACCAGGCTGAAAATGGGTGTGAAAGACGATTTAATTTAAAGAAATTCAAGGGGGAGTGCTTTCCATTGAAAGTTATGGGAGGAAAACCTGCTTTTAAAATATATTACATCTGTAGAAAGGAATTCTCACTTTAGACCACTCATGGCTGTTTGCCCAGTCTGGTGACAATTTATATGGAGGTGCATTATGCAGCATTTTGTTTTAATTTAACAGCAACTTGCATTTATATAGCACTCTTCATGTGAGGCAGTGTCTTGGAGTACTGAACACTGGAGTATTCTAACAGAACGTTTTTGCAACAATGAGTTTTCATCTGAACCCAGGAAAACAGGATACGGGTGAGTGTGCAAGAAGCTACCCGACATTATTCTATATCTACTGAGTTCATTTTAATGATAAACCTTCACGGTTTGATAAATACTGGTAAGGTGAACATTCTTTGCTCCTGAGTAAGTAACCTGACACTGGGCTCAACTCAGAATCCTCCAATAGTTGTGTAGTCCTGAGGTGTACTAATGCATAGAGCAGTGCGTTATGCCCCGCTAATTTCTGTTTCTTAATTCTTTAATTCTTTATAGGAATGTGCTATTGGATCATGACATGCTAGTAGTTATACATTTTTAATCAGTTGAACCTTTATTTTTATTGTTCTACAGACATGGGGAACTTTGAAGGAACAGACCAACGATTAACAGTGGGGCAGGGTCAGGCTGCAGTACTAAAATCTCCAGCGGTTAACAGCTACCCTCAACCGCAAATGACATGGTTTTGTGATGGCCAAAAGATCATCCCCAGCAATAGAATGTGAGTGATCATCAGCACAACAGACAACATAGCAAAGGGCATGACTGTCAGCATCCTAACTTTTAATGCTTCAAAGATATTTTGGTAAAAACTCAAATTGGCAACCAATTGTTTTTTCGTGCCTGTTCGATATGCTTCTTGAATAATAATCCTTGCATTTGATATCGCGATCTTCTCCAGTTGTTGAGACATCTCAAAGTACTTCACAGAATATATTGCAAAATGTGGGCAAAACACAACAGCCAATTATGCACAGAAGTGACCCACAAACAGTCGTGGATTGTGTGACCAAATTCTTCTTATTTTTTTAAGGGATTATTACCCCTGGAAAGCGATCCGCCAATCGACTAACAACCAGGTTCTTACTTAGTGCTAGGTATACAGAAGCGTGCGAAGTAAGGAAACTTGCCTAACGTTTCGCCCTGTCCGGTAATCGAACCTGGGTCCTCTCGCCTACGAGGAGAGTGTTCTAACCACTTCTCTACAGGACTCCAATGCATATAATACTCACAAGGCTTATCACTATTGTTGTACAACTGAACACTGACATTGACTTTCATTTGCTGGGGGAAGAGAAGCAAAGTCGTTTCTGAATTTAAACCCACCTTACTCTTGATTTAGCACAGCTAAATTTAGTTTAGTTTCCGATTTAGTTTCTGCTCCTGCATGTCACCAAAAGAAGCAGGAGGAGACGCAATGATGCATGACTTTAAAGATTTCTGATTTTAATCGATGGTTTGTTTCCAGTGGGCTAGCCTCGTGTTGATTGTAAGTTTATATTAAGGCAAAATAATTACCTGATTTTGGTCATTTGGTAAAACATGTTTCATTTATAAAACAGACTGTTAAAGACCTTTTAATGGAATTGCTGCTATTTACAATTAGAGTCATTGGGTGCAGAATGTATCAGATGTTTACTCACCTATCTAAATTTATTGAAGTGAATCATAGCAATTTGTGAAACGAGTGAATATTTCTTGCAGCTATTTGTAGTTTAATTAAAATCTGTTTCAATGTGACCTTGCACCTGTTGCTGTAAATTAAAAATGGATCAAAAAAACATGCATTTCTGCATAAGGAAATTAATAAAGCTGGAGACAGAAACTTCCAATGTGAAACACATGATGAATTAAATGGTTTAATGTTGAATAATAATACTAACCCTTGCATTTGATATAGTACCTTATCACATTGGAAAAACTACTCAAATCGCTTCACAGGATTTTACTGTGTACTTGTAGGCAAACACAGCAGCACGATTCCGCACAGCAGTGTCCTACAAACAGCCATGGAGTGAGTGACCAATGTTTTATTCAGGGAGGATTGTTGACTGGGTCACCAGAAAAAACTCCCTTCTCTTTTCAAATAGCACCATGGGATCTTTAACATCCACCTGAACAGGCAGACGGGACCTTGATTTAATCACCCTAAGGACGATAATATAGTAAAACTCACATACGTCTTATCTTCATAAGTTGTAGAATCCCCTAAGTCATATATTCACTTCGAGTTGCAATCAGTTTCCTATTTTATCTGCAGGATTATTGGCCAGGACACTAGGAAAAATTCCCTATTCTTTCTAAATGGTAATACGGTATCTGTATTGTTCACCTCAACAAGCCTTGGTTGAGGTTTAATATGTCATTCGAAAAATAGCACCTTAGACAATGCCACATTCCCAGTCTTACATTAGATTGTCAGCCTAGATTATGTCCTGACAGAGAGTGATTGGAAGTGTATATATGTGAAGTATCAGTAATGTAATTGCTCACCACTTGCCAAGCAGATTCTATAGATTGTAGTTACAATAGTTATAGGAGTGGATAACATTACTTTGCACATTCAAACTTGGGTTTAACATGGTAGTAATGTTAGCTGTCAGGAGACTCATAAGAGTAGAGTTACTTTAGTTACCTATTTAGATCTAGTTAATTTCCATAACTCTATATATCTTGATCATTCAGAAGCCTTACTCAACACTTAGCTAAATTTTATTTACCCAGATAATGAATATCTCTCAGAAGAGATGTTCATTATCATGTTTTTCTTGTATTTGAATGAACATAATGATGTAAAAAGTGGGTCATGTATTGGGATGTACCACAGACTTCTCTCATCAAGAAGACATTCAGTTCCCCACTCAGGGTTCCTCTGACAATTCTGCATGATGACAGAAGTGTTGAGCAGTTTGAGATGCCTTTCTCTTTGTTTTCCATCCCTACCTTTGGCGAAGTGCCTGTAGCCTCTCCAGATGGTTCTTGCTGAGCTTAAGAACTTATATGTTGAAGCATAAACAGGGACCAGATCTTTACCACTCCATTGCACAGCATGCAGTGTACTAAGCTGCTTTGCCATTAGCGAGTCTAGGTTCATAATTTCCAAATATTTAACCCTTACCTCAAAACAATCCAAACTTCCATTTAAGTGAACCTTTTTATTAAGAATTTCATGGCACATGGGTCTGAGATGTATAAAAAGACACTTAAGATCTTTGTCATTTCATAAAAATTAAGGGAAGGAATTTCTCGCAACCAACATAAATGATTTGTAAAATCGTTTTAATTTTCCACATGAATGTATTCCACTCTGAATACAGTTCTAGACTCTGAACAAGGTACAGACTTTGATGTAGGAACATTTATTGTCTCTGCGAATTGCTTCCTAAATGGGTGCTCTTTCCAGCTACCTCTACAGTACTAGGGAAGGCTTGTTTATGAACAATATTTTTTTTCTAACTGACGCCTCAATATGGTAAGCAGCTTTTCTGTCTTAGGGTAAGGAGATGTGACTCTCAGTGTGGGCTCTCCATAATAATAATCCTTGCACTTGTTATACAACAACAACAAGATTCCATCTATAGAGTGCCTTTCACGTCGGGAGGACGTCCCAAGGCGCTGGACAGTTGGGTCAGGACCCGAGCAGGGAGGAAATGGTCAGGGTGAGGGGAGGGAAGGGAGGGAGCAAGGAGGGGGTAGAGAGTTGAGAGGGGAGGTGAAGGCACAGTTGAGACCGCCTTGAAGGAGGAAAAGGAGGAGGCGGCGAAGGCACTGGGGGATGGAGTTCCAGAGCCTCGGGGCTGAAAGGCTGAAGGCCCGGCCACCGATGGTAGGACGGTTGGGGCAGGGGATGTGGAGCAGACCAGAGGAACGGAGGGTACGGGCAGGTAGGTAGGGGGATAGTAGGTCAGAGAGGTAGGAGGGAGCAAGGCCGTGAATGGCCTTGTAGGTGAGGATGAGGATCTTGAATTATAGTGTCTTCTCACGTCTTCGAGACGTCTCAAAGCAATTCACAGAATATACTGTAAAGTGAATTGACTGTATATTTTGTGGGCGAAATGACAATTGCGCACAGCAGTATCCCACAAACAGTCATGGATTGAGTGATCAAATTATTATTTTTTAAAGGGATTATTACCCTCAGAAAAGCGATTTGCAAATCGACTAGCGACTGGGTTCCTGCTTACTGCTCGGTAAACAGAGGCATATGGAGTAAGGAAACTTTCCCAACGTTTTGTCCTGCACAGGAATCAAACCCCAGATCCTCTCGCTTGCAAGGCGAGTGCTCTAACCACTAAGCTACAAGACTCCCTTGGTGTCCCACCACGTCTGGGGAACAGACCGAGCTGAGAGGAAGGGGCAACACACCCCGAGCTACACAAATTAATTTAGTCTGGCTACATTTGAGGCTCGGTGGCTATTATTTATTTGTAAGTGAAAAGAGGCAGGTGGACATATTGTGTTCACGTCAAGTAGGTCTTATTCCTGTTTGCGTTGAGGACATTTGCCTTGATCAAGGTGATTTGAATGAGCTTACTTCAATTGCACACACTGTAAATTGTCCATTAGTAAAGTTCAATTAAACCTATTTTAAATTCCTTTGATTATCTAAATTCATAGAGATGATGATGAATACAAATGTTTCACACCATTTCCAAATTCACACCATTTGTCTTTTTTGCCCCTTCTCCCTTTCCTCAGTTTGTGTGTCCAGCCCTCTTGTCCCCCCTCCCAAGCCCAGAGCTGTGTGCTGCTGTCTTCCCTTAGTACCTCCTTACTCACCATGGCTCATATCAGAAATTGTGCGATTCTAACCTAATACAACAACAAATTACATGTGATAGCACTCTTCACGTTGGGAGGAAGTCCCAAAACGCTTGACGGAGCCAGTGTCCGACACTGAACCAAAGGAAAAGAGGGGGTGTGGGGGGGTGGTGGTGCAGGTAATTGTAAGCACGATCAAAAGGGAAGGTCTTTAGGCGGGATTTGAAAGTGGGGAGGGAGGGGGTAAGGCAGAGGGATTGAGGGAGAGTTTCAGGGTGCAGTAGCTGAAAGTATAGCCACTGATGGTGGAGTGGAGGGGACGAGGGACAAACAGGAGGCCGAAGCCAGCCAGCGGAGGCAGCGAACGGATGGTGGAGGTGGGGAGGACAAGCAGATCAGATAGGCAGGGAGGTACGAGGGCATGAAGGGATTTGAAAACGAGTGAGAGATTCTTGAAATCGATCCGTTCAGTAATTGGGAGCCAGTGGAGCCTGGAAAGGACTGGTGCGATGGGGGGGTGGAGTTTTGTGCGGGTGCGGGTGCGGGTGAGTATCCAGGCGGCGGAGTTTTGGATTAATTGTATTTTGTGTATGTTGAAGCTGGGGAGAGCAACGAGGAGGCCATTGGAATAATCCAGCCGGGTTTCGGCTGTGTTGGTTTTAAGGTACAGACGGAGGCGGGCAATGGTGGAAAAAAGCGGTCCTGGTTAGGGAACGGATGTGGGGTAGAAAGGAAAGCTGGGGATCAAACCAGACCCCCTAAATTGTGCACGGGTTCGGTGAGTCTGAGGAAAAGCCCGGGGAGGTTGAGGAGTTCAGACCTGCAGGAGATATATCAAAGATCAGCACAAAGATCAGAAATTTGTCCCCTCCCATGAATACCTATAATGTAACTGCAATAAGTATATAAAAACAGAAGTCGCTGGGAATACTCAGCAGGTCAGGCCGCATCTATGGAGAG